TGCATCATAGGCTCTCGACCACGTTCATTAAACTGCAATTTATTAAATAACAAGAAATTTGTAGGTAATGTTATGATAACGTTGCAAGTAGCTTGAAGCTTGTAGATTCACGTGATAATCTTAGTTTTTCAATTAAAAATCCAATTTTTCAAATAAAATAGTGGCCTAACTTATGGACCATATCATTTCTTTTTGTATATATTACGGGCCGGTACTAGCAAGGTGGCCCACACATTTTCACGGTCCATCAAAGCATGTCCATATTATGGGCCATGGATAATAAACAACTTTATCATTGTTTTAAGCAATTCACCAATAGTATTTTTGTTTTTTAATATTTTGTACACATTTATGAAGCTGAAGAAGACATTTATATACCTCAGAACACGAATAACTTGTTAAAATCAAGAGTTGAAATAAGTTAACCTAAAACGACGATAAAACTAAATCTTTGTGTACCTTCAGTATACTTATATACCAATGCTGAGGGGTCAATGTGGTGGTCCATAATATGGACTCATGTAAAATCCTACAAAATACATATTATGGGCCACAAGAATACATAAAAACTTTAAGCCAAGTAAAGTAATCCCGTTGGTGAAAATAAAGTGAAATATATCTTACTTAAAAGCATTTGTTCATTTAAATATCACAAGGAATAAAAAATAAGTGTGATTTATTTGTGTGTAATAACTTTTAAAAGTGGCCCATAATGTGGACAAAGATTATGGGCCAAAGTGACATGAATAAATTAGAGGCCCATAATACATACGAAAAAGGATGTCGACATTTTCTGAATTTTAATCTTTTCAACACTCTTTTTCACAATTATTACTATTAGTACACATTTAATAAATCCAGCGCTTCAAGAAGGTATCGGAAGTATTAAAAGAAAACGTATTATTATTTTACAATGACCATGATTCCAAAATGGTAGTGAGTAGTGGCTCATAATAGGTACCTTTACCTTATAAAAGGTATCAGCAAATAAAGATAGTTAAGAATTGTTGCTACTCTCGTTCTAGACACGTTTTTTGAAAGGAAAAATTTTGTTTTTAAAGTTGGTCACTTTTATCCACTGATAACTTTGATATAAATAATGGAATCCTTGAAAATCAGATATTTAATTCAAGCTTATGAGACGTAAAATTCATAACCACTTTAGGGTCATAAGATCAATCATTGATTCTTAAAGTTATAAGTGAAAATGTAAAAAAAGCACGTGACAGTGCGAGACGATTGTACGAAAGTATTTTCAGAACTCTTTCTATTTTATATATCAACCAAAAATTTTGTACAGATATTCTCAAAAGGCAGTGGAAGAATCTCATTAGAAAAAAATTATGAATTTCGACTTTTCTCAATTAAAGTAGTGTGCTCCACACATTTTGAGGTTAAAATTTTTATCTGGTTAAACAAAAATTTATCTGAGGTTTTTATGATAACGGAATAAAACTTTATTACTTGGGCGATAACTAAAATAATTTTCATAAAGAATCATAAACAATCGCGTGAGTTCTAGCAAGTTAAACACAACCGTTCGCTGTGCACACATACTATTTTATACAAAAGCGTTGAAAAGGTGAGCAAGAAATGTAGTCTGATATAATTATACTTGTTTCAGTACTTTTAAAATAAAAATATTTTATTGAAAAACTGAGGTGGCACAAAGTTACATTTATTATACTCAACAAGAAAATGTCATCATTTAAGTGACTTAAATTTCTTATCACTAGCTTCACACTACTAAAGAACTATTTAATAAATAAGGTGTGTTGTTATCTTACTGTAATTTTACATATTCTTTTTCAATGAAATAGTGTCTACAATTGAGCTGCAAAATAATTCATCCTAAACTTGAAGAATAGCTTTTACGATTCCTCTCTCTCTCTCTCTATCTTTAATTTTTCCCTCTCTGGATCGCTGTTTTACTTTCTTATGACATCTGATAGTTATCTACAATGTACAATTACAACTTAATCTGGTTTTTTTTCTATTCAGGGTGAACCGCTAGAATCTTATACAATGCCTTGTAGTGGAAGTACGGATCAGTATACAGCATTTCCTCAAGATTCTTATTGCCAAGAAGTAAGTATTTATTGGTTTAAGAAGTCATTTGTTTTTTGTAAAAACATTATTCGTTTTTTTTTAGCTGTGCTCTAATTACGTGGAACAAGAAATAGTGTCAGCATATGATAATGCCAACTCTAATTCCCAGGGTGACGAACTTAATAATATCAACAAAATTTTTTAGTTAGTAGTATGAAATATTGAAATTATATTCAAAGGCGATACATTGGTCTACATTTTACATATTTTTTTTTAGTAATTCGTCAGAAGCATTGATTCAACAAAATCTTAGTGTCACGAACATTGATTATAAAAGAAGCCTAGAATTATTTGATGAAGTCTGTGATAATAAGATGGCAGATAATGGTTCTCAAAGTGATAAATGGCAAAATAATGACTTTCAACTACGTTCATCTAATTGGTTAAGTGGAAAGAAGAATAGTTCAAGCTCATCTGATGAAGAAGAAGGAGAGGATAAAAGTAATAAAAACTTTAATGAGCGATCAAATGATTCAGATGCAAAAATTAAAGATCGTAAGTATAAGGAATTATTTTGCCACACTTAATTAATCTTTAATTTTTTTTTTTTTATCAAGTGAACTATTTTTTTAAGAAAAAATGCGTATCTAAAATTTTAGCAAAAATTATGATATTATTACACAATGACTTACATGAAATACGTCGTAAATATCGTTATTATCGAAACGACTTTGCCTCTTTTGCTGAAAGTTATGCAGAGTCCATATTCACTTTTAAAAAAAGTAAGTAAGATATCATTGTTAAGGGAGAATAGCATCTTTTATGTATACATATAAACTAGTGGGGCTTCGCCCCCTTGCGCGCTCCGCGTGCCAACCCCCTACTGTTCTAACTCAAAAGTAGAGTCTTTAAATTTCATCTGATAGAGGGGAGAGGTTGGTGCTTAGAATTTTGTGAGGAAGAAGAGTTTTTGATTAATATCGTTGAGCATTAGTTTTATATTTATCAGTAAATTTCCACACCACCCAGAAGGTATTATAGTGGTACGTTAAGAGTTTCTTTTAGAACTTCCCGTTATGTTGATTGTTGATCCCGTTATGTTGTCCCGTTATATCAATTGATATAAGTAGTTAGAAAAAATTTTTCATTTTTAGATTCAATGACAAATATGGAAATAATTTTTTCACAGTATTCCACACTGTAAATTGGAAAAATCGTTTGTACTATTAAAATTTAATTCAAAATCAAACTAAATTTTTTTCAAATTTTTAAAAATGAACGATATAAAAGTTAGCGTAAGAGGGGACAGAAATTGTTTATTCAGAACTTTTTCTTTTTTTTTGTATAGTGACGAAGAGTTCCACATGAGAGCTCGTTCTTTAGTTATCAATAATGTTGTAAACGAATGGCAAAATTATTATGAATTTATAGTAAGAAACGATTATTATCAAAATGTAAAAAGTAGTGATAAATATATTAACATAATATCAAAACATGGGACTTATGGTACAAGTATTGAAATTGAAAGCTTCTCAGATTCATTACACCTTCACAATATAGTTAATTTGTCGAACAACGATTTTTAAACACATGGAAATTAAAATAGTAGTCTTAAACTTAAAATTAATCCTATATGCAATTGGTCGATAAAACATTGTATCGCCAAAAAATCATGAAAGATTTTTTTCAAACATGTATTAAACAAAGTAACTGGTTTGACATCGTTCGATGACATAAAAACATATAAAGGAATAACTTATGAAACTTTCAAAGATACTGCAATTGTAATGGGTTTGATTGACAATGATGAATAAGTCGATGATATTTTTAAAGAAGCAATTGCTGTTATGTTTCAGTACCAATTGAGACAATTTGCGAACAAATAATTAATATTTCCTTTATAGAGGGTCCTGGAGGGTTGAAAATAACTTAATTATATAAAGAGCTAATTGGTTTTTTTATTTCTCAAAATACAAAAATCTGGTCAGTGGCATTGACTGGCATAACATAAATTTATCTTACAAAAGGGATGACCAGTCATTAAACTTTTAGACTTCTTTTAGATCATAATAATATCGAGAGTGTGTTTTTAAAATTCGAATCACACAAAAAAAATGAAGAGAAATTTATTTAATTAGTTGTAATGAGGCTAATTAATTACTTTAGGAGGTGNAAATAAAGAGTGAAGAAAGTGTAAATAAAGTAGTGATACAGAATAAACCTTGAATGTCGTTTGTTTGTTTACAGGTGAGTTTGTACATAATGTAAATAACTGAAATTCCATGAATAATAAAACCTTTTTTTGTTTACAGAGAAACAATTTCTAGTTTATTTTTAAAAAACCCTAAAAAAATAATTGCCTTATGAAACGACATTTTGTAGTAATCACTAAAACACTATGGACAGGCTGCAATTCGAATTTGGCATGATCCCATCAAGTGATTATAAATCCAATCTATTAGCCATAACCTCTTTAACTACTATAGAAGGAAAATGTTTTGCAATACCAGAAGAAGTAAGACAAATAATCAACCAGAAGGAAATCACAAAACTGACTAATTTTACGAAAATAAAAAATAGCTTTAAAAAATACAGCAGACTAGAAAGATATGGATAAAATTAGATAAAGAACTAAAAAAGATGTATGTAGATGAAGATAAAAATATACAATTTTTAGACCAATATTAAGAAGAAGTAAGTACAGAAAAGACTACTGAAAAAAAGATAACCTTCAGCAAATCCTGGAAAAATTGGTGGAAGCTACAGAAAAAAAAGAAAGCCAACAAAACTTAAAAAGCATTTCAGACAAGTTTATGTTAAAAAAATTCACAAGCAAGAATCCAAATGCAAAGCAATGGATGGAATTTTTTGAAAAAGAATGTGGAAGATTCAATATGAATGAAGATGTAACAAAGATAGAAATACTGAGATTGTTTTTACAAAAATTCTGTATGGACTGGTACAGTTCGATGGTCACAAAATTGACAGTGGATTCTGAATGGAAAGAGTGGAAACAAAAAGTTTTAGACTCATTTACAAACAAAGGATGGAATTTAGTTACATATGCTTTAATATTCAGATACAAAGAAGGGTTACTTATTGATTATGCTATGAAAAAAGAACTATTTATATTAGATATCAACAAATCCATGGACCCCACAACACTAATTGACCTAATTGCAACAGGTTTACCAGAATTTATATTGAATAAAATAAACAGAGATGAACTCACAGATAGTATCGATTTGTTTAACAAAATTAGAAAACATGAAGATATTATGTATAAAATAAAACTTTACAAGAAACAAAGAAATTAAACAGGATTATAAAAAGAAGACTAAAGAGAGAAAGCCCTGCAAAACTTGCGAAGACTTGAAAAAAGGAATAAGATATCACCCAGAGAAATCATGCTGGTTCAAAACAAAAAGAAATGAACATGAGAATATTAATAAGCCCAGAAAGGTTAATAATAACTCTATTATAGATGTAGATTTAAATACAGATAAAAAAAACGAGTAATTACACCATTAATTAGGATCAAACTGCTATTAGAAGATAAATTACAAGTAAATGGTATTTATGGTTCAGGTTCACAAATCTCTATAATAAACTCAAGACTAGCCAATGTGAAAGAAAATATAAGTAATGTAAATATAACATATATGAAAACGGTTAATGGTGTAAAGAAAACGGATGGTTTGATAACTATTAAAATAAAAATTTTTGAAATTGAAAACAAAATAGATGTATACATTGTGAATTAAGATGATTTTGAGGATTTTGTAATAGGGTTAGATATGATAAAAAAATTTAAATAGGGCCAAAATGAAAATTTAAAAATTGAACAGAAAAAAAGAGACATTTTTTGAAGAGTATCAAATTAACATAGATAAAAACTCTATCAGTAAAAAAAAATACAGATATAGATGAAAAAACAGTTTTAATCAATTTTAACGAACATGTACAAGGAAAAGAATTTAAAATAAAAATAGACCATTTAGACGCAAAAGAACAAGACGAGAAAGAGAAATTAATGGAAGATTATATCAGTTTTTGCAAAGAATAAATACGATATTGGAACGGTTAAAGACTGCAAAGCTCGAATACATTTATTGATTGATAGATACTGCAGCAAAAGACCATACAGATGTACATTAGAAGACAAAAAAGAAATAGAAGAGCAAGTATCTAAATTAATAAAAAACAATTTAATAGAAAATTCCTACAGCCCTTTTGTGGCTCCGGTAACATTGGCATTCAAAAAAGATGAAAACAGAAGATCAAGACTATGCATTGACTTTAGAGACCTAAATAAAATTATTGTACCTCAAGCCCAATCATTTCCTCTAATAGACGATTTGATTATAAAAACGAGGAACTGTTAATTTTTCACGACACGAGACATCAATTCAGCATTCTGGTCAATACCCCTACGCATTGAGGATAGAAAAAAGACAGGATTTGTTACACAGGATGGACACTTCCAATGGACCTGTTTACCATTAGGGTTAAAAACATCACCAACTATTTTTCAAAGGATTTTATGCAACATCTTAAGGAAACACAAACTCACAAATTTCACGGTAAATTATATTGATGATATTTTAATATACTCACCATCTTTTCAAGAACACATTCAACATATAAANTTTTTCTAGTGTTAAACAACGGTAACAGAAAAATTATAATTGAACAAACTATTAAATCTTCATTTTAATGAAACTCATTCCAAATTTTGAAATTAGAAATCAATATTCGTTCTAACAATAAAGGATTTTCAAAATTACTATTGCAAATTGGAAAAGGGGAAACAAAAATTTTTAACATTCCTAAAAACTGGATCTTAAATGATGTATGATCTTAAATATTTTCTAATATCTACAATTGTTTGATAAATAGTGTTATACTTACATCGCATAACGAGTACACCTTTTATTTAAATAATAAAATTCTAAAAAAATTAACTGGAAAAATTAAAACTTACTATAGTATAGATAACGCAACTTATAAAGGGGTTAATAAATCAGATCTCAAATAATGAATGTTCTCAAATATTTTTTAATATCTACAATTGTTTGATAAATAGTGTTATACTTACATCGCATAATGAGAACACCTCTCATTTAAATAATAAAATTCTAAAAAAATTAACTGGAAAAATTAAAACTTACTATAGTATACATAATGCAACTTATAAAGAGTTTCATGAATCAGACAATAATATTTATTTAAATTTTCGGTGGAAATGTTGAACAATATTCGTGAAGGATTACCACCTCATGAACTCAATCTAAAAATTGGTACACTTGGGATGTTACTGAAAAATTTAAGTATATCAAAGGGACTTTGTAATGAAACACGTTTACGAATAACAAAATTATTACGGTATTATATAGAAGGAGAAATAATAACTGGAGAAAAAATTAGAAATAAAGTCTTCATTCCAAGAATAACTTTAGACACGAAAAACTTCTCAACATTACCGTTTATTTTGTATCGTAAACAGTTTTTAATCGGTGTGGCATTTGCTATGACAATAAACAAATCCCAAGGTT